CAACATTGCACCAGGGAGAGAAGAGGGGAAAAAGGGAAGAGGAGAGCCACTGACCGCAGCAGAAAGGAAAAGGAAGCAGCACAAAGGAGGGAGGAGAGAGGCCACAAAGGAGTAGGGGAGAAGAGGAGAGAAGGCAGGAGCCAGGAGAGGGGAAGATCCAGGACAGGTGAAAGAGTTGAGAAGGAGCAAGAGGGGAGAGGGAAGCCAGGCACCCAAAGGGGGAGTCCCCGGACAGGGTGTGTGGCCAGAGGGCGGGGAGTAGAGAGGGGCGGTCTAGGTCATGTCCCACGGGATCTACTACGACTGTGAGCAACGAGGAGGCCAACCACTCGAGTTCCCAGGCAGCCGAACTGGGCCAGGGGAGCTGGGGGACATGTGTGACCATGAGGCCTCCATCGACCTGTCCGCCTACATTGAATCCGGTGAGGAACAGCTCCTTTCTGATCTCTTTGCTGTCAAACCACAACCTGAGCCTCGTGGCCTCAAGGGCCCTGGAACTCCTGCCTTCCCCCACTACCTCCCACCAGACCCGAGGACCTTCGTTTATCCGGCCCATGCCTTTGGCCCTGACCGGAAGGGCCTAGGGCCGAACTCCTATAGTCCAGCCGAGGGCTATGATCCCCGAGCAGTGTCTGTGAAAGAAGAGCCTAGGGGGCCAGAGTGTGGGAGAAGCTCCAGCCGAGGTAGCTACAACCCACTGCAGTACCAGGTGGCACACTGTGGGCAGACTGCCATGCATCTGTCCCCAGCTTTGGGCACACCCAACCAGCCCCTTCGAGTCCTCAAGGTAAGAGGTTAATGCACTTATTCTTGGCTCCTTGGGACCCCTATATTCAAGGGATCAGAGGTTGAGAGGGGACCAGCTGGAGTGTCTCTAAGGTCAGACTGGGCCCTTGTGTTTCAGCTGACATCTCTCTTTAAAGTGCTATGGATTATGACCCATGCTGTACCCTCACCCCACTCCTTTCTACACTTCTGAGGATTCTGATGTACAACAAACCCCTCTCCACAGCTCTTCAAGTTCTGACTCATTCACCTGATCCTCTTTCTACGGCTCTGCAGATTCTAAATTACCCCAAGACTAAGAATTCTGAACCTTCCCACACCCCTCAGGACAGCTCTAGAATTCCGATGTACCAGTCTTCTCGATAAAGTTCTGCATATTTTGAGGCACCTCAAATCCTTCTGTGGAGTTCTTTGAATTCTGACCGTTCCCAGTGCCCACCCCACCAAACACTACTCTAAAAGGCTCTGTGGATTCCAATCTGTCCTGCTAACCCCCCTTCAGCCTTGGTCGCCTGCCTTTGCCTCCTGTCTGGCTGACTGGAGAAGAGGAAATGCTCATAAATTTCAAAGCGGGAGATTCAGGATAGCTATTGAGGGAAATGTCCTGAGCGGTGTCAGAAAGTGAAATGGGTGACTAAGGAAAGCTGCTGGGGCCTCTTTCCTCTGAAACCTTTAGTTCTTGGTTTGGACTGCAGTCTTGCCTGGAGTGAGGGGGATGGATGATTCGATATGAAGGGGGCCTCCTAGACCAAGATGTATATTGAAGGCGGCAGGGGGAGGGGTCCACGGGATGCTTTCTTCCCTTTCAATCCATTGTCCGTCTTGCCCTCATCCCCACTACTCTATATCTGTCAATTCCCTGTTGGTTGGTCCTTTTCTTTCTCCCCCTTCCTCCCGCTCTCTCCCAGCCCCAGCTCTGTACCTGAACCTTCGCGCCCTGTGCCTGATCTCTGGGTACCTCTCACTCCTCCCATCACAGGGCCCCCTGGCTGCCGCTGCTGCCCCTCCCTGCAGTCCTCTCCTCAAGGCTCCCTCTCCGGCCGGGCCCCCCCATAAGGGCAAGAAAGCGGTGAACAAAGACAGCCTGGAGTACCGGCTTCGGCGGGAGCGCAACAACATCGCAGTCCGCAAAAGCCGGGACAAAGCCAAACGGCGCATCCAGGAGACTCAGCAAAAGGTGCTGGAGTACATGGCCGAGAACGAGCGACTTCGCAACCGCGTGGACCAGCTCACCCAGGAGCTCGACACCCTGAGAAACCTCTTCCGCCAGATCCCCGAAGCTGCCAGCCTCATCAAGGGAGTAGGTTGTGGCTGAGCCCCAGGGCTGACGGGCAGAGGGGCCTCCTCTGGCACTGAGGGACTTCTCGACCCCCTGTATCCCTAGGGGGAGGCTCTCAGCTTAGTCTGGGCTTTCTTCCCGCATATGGGGTACGGTTGATGCCCTCAGACAGACAGACAGACAAGACAGACTAGCTGCTGAGCCAGCCCCAAGGCATTTGGGCAGCACCCTGGGCAGGGTTTGGAGATTGCACTTCCCCTAATACACTGAAATACTGCATCCCATGTCCTCGGAGGTCTTTAGCCTTCCCTGTAACACAAATGACAACTTACAGCAAAATAAATACTTATGTGCCATGGACCTAAGTATTTCCTGTCATTAAACAAGGGCATTTATTAAAAATGATATTTAAAAGTGTCTTTCCCTGAATTTTCTTCCCCCTGTATTACACCCTAGGTGGCTTACTTCCTTGCTGTGACACTGTTTGGGAGGAAGATAACAGTGATAAGAATAGCTGACATTTATATATCAAGGTAACGTTTATAAAGTGCTTTCCAACCAACAACCTTGTGACTTAGGTAGTGCAGATTTACCACCACTTTACAGATGAGGAAACAGACTGAGAGAATTTAGGTGGCTTGTTTCCAATCACCTGGCTAATCTGTTGGGAGACTTGAATGGTAAGGGTGGGGGTGGCAGGGAGGGAGGGTGTTGTGGATCTGTGAAAAGTGCTTCTATGACTAAACAGAATTCACACTGTGATTCATGTGCTGGTATCATATATCAGGATACCATACCAGATATGGTACCATATCTCTGGCAGACAGGGCAAGAGACATGGGCACTACCTTTGTGTAGGTATTATATGCTAGTTGAGTATAAGTTAGAATGAGAGGTCATAATAATAATGACTTACATTAAATAGCTCTTTAAGATTTACAAAGTTTAAAGTATTTTGGGCAAACCAAGTAATTAGTATAAGGTCCAGCACATGCTTAATAAATGCCTGTTGAACCCAACTGAATTAAAGATCATAGAACATTAGAATTAGAAGAGACTTTAGAGACCGTTTAGTACAACTCTTTAATTTTAGCGGAGAAGAAAGTGCAGCCTAAAGAAATTAAGTGAGTTGCTCAAAGTCTCACAACTAGTGAGTAATACTCACACCAGTATTAGAATCAAATAATCACAAATCTTATGGATGGATGGGACCCCCAGGTGATCCCACAATCTAGCCCCCTGCTATCAGGCAGGCAAGATACTATTATACCCATTGTACAGATGAGAAAACTCACATTCAAAGAAATAAGGCAACTGGTTACCCAGCTTGTTAGTGGCAAAGCACAAACTAAAACCCAGATCTTTTTCCTGCTTACTAGCATTGACCCAGAGCATCTATGTCAGGTGTCCTGGAGTAGCACCTAGCCCAAGAGTAATACATACTGGATATTTAATAGGTGTTTGGTGAATGACCATGCCAACAACACAGATAGAATGAAAAAAAGCAAAGAGAGGAACAGCAGAGCAGCAGAGGTCTCTGCTCTGTCCCCAGCTTCTAGAACACAGCTTGGAAAACTGACATCGGACATCAGAAAGAATTTGTGGACAGGGAAATGTGTGTGGCAGATTTTTTTCCCATTGAAGATGTTGTGGGGATATCCCCTGTCTCTCCCATGTATCTAAATCTCTCCAGACCTGCTTCTTTCAGGTCTCCATTTCTTTCATGTCTCTGGGTCCCCTTAGGTGTCACCTCTCCCTCAGTCTGGTTAGTGTTGGTAAGTTTCCAGCTCAGCTGGACCGAATTTACTTCCTTGCTGTGTTAAAGGCTTGGTTTTGAAGTTGATGGGAGCCTTTTGGGTTTGGTATAGGGTCTCTGTGCCCGCCTCGGGGGAGCCCCGTGGGACACTGGTGCCTTCTTTACAGCCCTAAGGGACAGATTGCATAAGGGGGGTTGGTACAGAGCGTGGTGAGTGACTCAACCTCCGGAGCAAGTGCGGTTTGGGACGGGGAGCAACCAGTTCCCCTCTTTTCTCCTCCCCAGCTTAATCCTACTGCCCCTTGCTTTATCATCAAGGCTGTTGGTGAAATGAGACCTCCTTAGATTAGGAATAAACTCCCAGTCTTCCTTCCTATGACCTTGAACTGTGTTACCCCAAGTCTCCCTAGAACTGAGGTCTGTGTTGGGCAAAGTTTATTAGAAGTGAGGATTAGAGTCATCCTCGATATCACCACCATTGTGGTCATCATTGTAATCACCAGCATCAATATCAAACTTTTATTATTGTTTTACTTGACCTGATTTTTTTTCCCATTTATCAAGCATTTATATTTACTTGATCTGATTTTAACTATGCAGCTTAGCTAACTTCATTTCAACCATATGTTGTTGAAATAGGCAAGGTGGCTTGGCGGATAGAGGGCTGGTCTGAGGAGTCAGGAAGACCTGGGTTCAAATGTCATGTCTGACACATACTGGTTTATGACTCAGGGCAAATTATTTAATATCTCTGTGATCCAGGCAATTCTTTAGGATAATAAATTTCAGAGTAGGTGCTGATCTGCATTGGCAGTAAGAGTTTCCTCCTTGAGAATTTCCTACACCAGTGAAGTCACAGGTCCAATTCAAAATAAAGCTCTTGGGATAATAATATCTTAGTGATAGGATAGGTATTTAGAAGTTCTACTCTTTCCTTGGACCATGCATGGGTAGTCTCCAGACCCCATACATTTGTGTGTATGGGGAGAATGGCTGGGGACAGGGAGGCGGAGATAGAGTATCCCCATCCTCCTAGTCACACAGGTTGATAACCTCAGAATCATCCTTGACCGTTCTTCCCTCTCATTACACCCTCCCTCATATCCAAACAGTCGCCATGTCATTTCCATTCTTTCTCTACATCTCTTGTGTCCCTCTTTTTCCCTCCAATCACATAGCCACCACCTCAGTTGAGGCCCTCATCACCTCTCACGTAGACTACTGTTAAGATTTCCCTGACTGGCTTCACTGCTTCCAGTCTCTCTCCAATTTATTCTATCTCCAATTTATTAAATAAGATAATATTTGTAAAGTGCATAACACAGTGCCTTGGTCCATAATGGGCACTTAATAAATACTTATTTCTTTTTTCTTCCTTCCACAAAGTTACCATCACTTTCCTAAGCCTTACAATTTTGGTCACTGCAGTCTCCTGTTCCTTATTACTCATAATCTAAAATACAAACTCATCAGTTTTGTATTTAAGGCCTTCCATGATCTGTCTCCCATATACCTTTCCAACTTGATTTCACACTACCCCTTCTCATAAACTCTACTTTTTAGCCAAACTGGACTGCCATTCCCCATGCTTGGAGTGCACCTCCTCTTCACCTGTGTGAATCTTTGTCTTCCTTCAAGGCTCAGCTCAAGTGTCACCTTCTCTGATCTATCCTGACAACTCCACCCCACCCCAAATTATCAGTGCTCTCCCCCTTCCCTGCTTAATTAACTTTGTACTATATTTATTTGTGTACATGTTGTATCCCTTCTCCTTCCCTACCCCCCCCAGTAGAATATAAGGTGTTTGAAGGTAGAGATTTCTTTGTTCTTGTCTTTGTATTCCCATGCTGAGCACAGTGACTTGCACATAGTAGATGCTTTCTAAATCTTTTTTTTTTTTGGCTAGGCAATGGGGTTAAGTGACTTGCCCAGGTTCACACAGCTAGTAAGTGTTATGTGTCTGAGGCCACATTTGAACTCAGGTCCTCCTGACTCCAGGGCCAGTGCTCTATCCACTGCACCACCTAGCTGCCCCTAAATCTTTTTTTTTTTTTAAATTTAACAAAAAAGCCCCTGGGTCTTTTTCCTCCTTCTAAAATGGAGCCACTCCCTCTTCATCATCCTAGCCTTACCTGGTAGGACCTATTCCCAAACTTGGACTTTCCTAAGCCTTGGGAGAGAGAAAAGTCCTTTTCCTATAGGGCCTCCATTCTTGTCTCAAACTCACCCTTTTAATATAGGGTGATTCTTTTCAGGTCCCTGGACTACTTGAAATGAAACTTGTTTGACCCAGAAGGAGGGAGAGTTGGCTCTTCTGTCCTTTGAGTCTGTTCCTGACAATCTGCCTCCATTCTACTCTCCACCGTCATTTTCCCAAAATTCTCATCCTATCCCACCTCCATATGAACTGCTATAAAAGAAAGAAAGAGAGAGAGGAGGAGGAGCCAAAAGGTACAGCAGTCAGTGAAGACAGGAACGTCTGAGTGAAGCCAACCAACATTTTTTTTTCCTGGGCTTTGCAACCAAATATGATGTACCAGGGACTGGGAGACATTGGGAGAGAGGGAAAAAAAATTAGCATACTGAATGAATGAATGAAGCATTTATTAAGCACTATGTGCATAGTACTCTGCCAACCACTGGGAATACAAATAGAAAAGATAGTTCCTGCTCTCAAGAGCTCACATTCTAATGGGAGAGACAACCCATATTAAATGAATGCCTTGCAAACCAAAGATCAAAACAACATGCAAATGACCACCCATGACTCTGAAGCAAAACAAAGGTATATTTCCCATAGGAGCTGGAGTCCTGAGCACACAAGTGAAAAAATGTCAACGGGAAGGAGAGGAAGGGGAAGACTATGGGGAAGAGGGGGCAAAAAAAGGGAGGAAGCTGCCCCAAGGTGAGCTTGCCAAGGTCAATATCTTGTGAAAGTTACTCCCCCTTCTCACTTGCTGGTCCCCCTCATGATTGCCACATCCTGGGGCCCAATCCCAATGTCGCAAGATCCCGGTTGGGGTTGTGGGGGCTGGGACGGGGGTGAAGGCAGAGGGGCCCCCTCACACCTCTTAGTCCCATCCCCCACCAGCAAGGAACTGGATGGAGAGGACAACCCATTGGAAAAAAAAAATAGAATAGGTGTGAATTTGCATATAGCTACCCTCTTGCCTACATCCCCACTTCATATTATCTATTTCTTGTCCCTTTTCATAGCCATTCTGTCCCTGACATTGCTTCTTTCCACTCAAGTTCCCATAGCCTTTGATAACATTAACCTTAAATAGCCAAATATCATAACATTACTGGATATATCTATGCCTATCTTCATGTCTAGCTTCACAGTTACTAGCTGTATGACCCTGAGCAAGTCACTTAACCTCTGTTTGCCTCAGTTTCCTCATCTGTTGGATTTGGTGGCCTCTAACATCCTTTCTAGTTCTAGATATATTATCCTGTGATCCTTTGATTGGGTTCTGCTAGCATTAGCAGCCCTGAGAGGAATACTGGGGAAGGGGAAAGAAGGCTTAATCTTGCTGGAAGGGCAGTCAAGGAGGGACTTCATAG